TATATATTTAACTCAAATTTAATTATTTTAGCGGAGCTGGGGTTTTTTGTTTTTGTTTTGTTTTTTGTTGTAAATGCTTCTTTCTTTTGCCTTTTTGTAGTGCTAGGGACCACATAGGAAAATACCACTGAGATATCTCTCTAGCCCTTGGTTTTTTGAGGGCAGCCTGGCCTTGAACTTTGAATCTACACCTCTGCCTTCCAAGTGCTGGGGTTACATGTGTGCACCTTTGTGCCTAGCTATAAATAATGCTTTGCATAGCCACTATACCTTTCCCATCAGCTGTGCTAATTTCCATTCTTCCCAACAGTGACTTCCAGGTCCTCCCTTTCCTACAGCCTCCCTAGGACTTGTTGTCTTTATATTCCAATTGGGGTAAGTTGCTTCCTCTGAGTGAAACCATTTTTCCTCTGGAGGAAAGAGAAGTTCATGCAACTTAGAAGATTCATAAGCCCCACCTGCTAGGCTACCAAAGCACTCACCTATTGCTGCAAACAGAGACTTGGGTGGAGTTGCTTCCCCCTTGGGCAGAGCTCCAGGGGATGCAGCTTTCTGAGCCATCACCCATGCTAGGATAGGCTTTTCCATGATGCAACCACCTGAAAGTTGCCCAAGTTTCTGTACATCACGCCTTAATTCAGTGGAATTCCAATGGAATGGAATCATCCCTCTGGTCCAGTACCAGTGCCCTGTCTGAGGTGAATAGAAATTTTTTCAGGTCTTTTTTATCAGGAAAAGTTGCACAACGCCCACAGCTTGATTAACATTTCCATTTCTTAGGAAGAATATTTTACTGTTGCTTTCGTTTCTCTTCTAAGACTTCTCTTTTTAAAAAACAAAAAAAAATTATGTGTATGAGTGTTTTGTCTGCATGTATGTCTGCATCACAGGCATGCTTGGTGCCCACAGACCCAGAAGATGTTGGGTCCCCTGGGACTAGAGTTAACAGGTAATTGTGAGCTACCATGTAGGTACTGGGGACTGAACAAATGATCTCAATCACAGAATCATCTCTCCAGCCCTCTTATCTTTTGAAGAACGTCTGTTTTGACTTCTTTGAAGTTTTAATGGGATGATTTGTTGAGCTGTTTGAGCTCCTTCTATATTCTGGATAGTAACTCAGTGCTACCAATAGTTTGTCTCTTCCTGATGTTTTATTTGGCCATTTGGATTTTTAGTTTGATGAAATCCTTTTGCCATTGATTGCTGTTTTACTGCTTTGCTACTGGGATCTTTTCCAAAAAAACCATTATCTGTACAAAGGTATTGAAACATTTCATTTGTTTCCTAGTTTCAGGTTTTACTTGTAAATCTTTAATCCATTTTGAATTGGTCTTGTATGTGGCGAGAGCTAAGATCTACATGCTTACATTACCCAAAACCATTTATTAAAGAGACTACCCTTCCTCTGGTGCACTTCCTTGATAGCATTGTGAAGTCTGTTGGCTTGAAATGTATGTGTTGTATTTCTCTGCATTCTGTTCCAGTGGTATGTGTCTGTGTGCGTACCATGCTGTTTGGTTCTACAGCTTTGTAATAACTTTCAGGTTAGGTAATATAATACAGCTGTGTTCTTTTTGTTAAAGATTCCTTTAGCTACTTAAGGATTTTACAGTTTCATATGAATTTGGGATCATTTTTCTATTTGTATAAAAAAATGTCATCTTAGGGTTTCTATTGCAATGAAGAGACACCATGACCATGACAGCTCTTATAAAGGAAGACATTTAATTGGGGTGGCAGCTTACAGTTTCAGAGGTTCAGTCCATTATATTTGTGATGGAGAGCATGGCAGTGTACAGGCAGATGTGCTGGAGCTGAGAGTCCTACATCTTGCAGGCAACAGGAAGTCAACTGAGATTCTAGGCTGTATCCTTAGCATAGGGAACCACAAAGCCCAATGACACAGTTCCTCTAACAAGGCCATACCCACTCCAAAAAAGCCACACCTATTAGTGCCATTCCCTATGAGATTATTGGGGTCAGTTACATTCAAGCTACCACAAATGCCTTGAGAGGCAGTTCATTGAAGTCTATAGATCACTTTAGTACTGTGGACATTTTATGCTGTTAAATCTTCTAGTTCATAATCATGATGTGTCTTCAGTTTTTCTCATCACTGTTCTTTTAGTTTCTGTGTAGGGCTATTTGCTTCCTTAGTTATGTTTATTCCTAAGTATTTTATTATAAAGAAAATTGTTTTCTTGACTCTCCTTTTCAGACAGTTGGCTATTAGTGTATACAAACAGTACTGATTGGGGGGGGGCGGGGAATTCTGCCCACATAGATGTTCATCATTCCTACCAGGTTTTTGGTTTTTGGTTTGTTTGTTGTTTTTTGTTCTTTTGATTTTCTGTTTTTTGAGACAGGGTTTCTCTGTATAACAGCCCTGGCTGTCCTAGAACTCATTTTGTAGACCAGCTTGGCCTAGAACTCACACAGGTCTGCCTGCCTTTGCTGGGATTAAAGGCATGTGCCACATTGCTTTTATACTTGATTTGTTGAGGATTTTTTTTTTTTAAACATTAAGAGATTTGTCAAGTGTTTTTTCTGCATCTATTGAAATGATCATGTCGTTTTCTCCTTTCATTCTGCTAATGTGGTAGATCACATTTGATGATTTACCGAGATTGAACCATCTTGTATTCCTGTAATGGATACCTTTTGATCATAGTGAGTGGTCTTTTTGTTGTGATATATTGGGCTGTTTTGTTAAGGATTTTATACCCTTGTCTGGTTTTGCTGCCCAGGTAATGCCTCATGGGATGAGTTTGGAAATCTTCCCGCTGGTGGGTAGTTTCAATAGAATTGGTATCAGTGTTTGTTGTTTGTCTGATACAACCAGCCCTAAACTCCTAAACCTCTTTCCTCAGTCTCTTTGATGCTGGGATTACTAATGTGTTTTACCACACTCAGATTTAAACTGTTGGTGTGTTTGTTTTGAGATAGCCCTGGCTGTCCTGGAACTCACTATGTAGACCAGGCTGGGCGTGAACTCACAGAGATCGGCCTGCCTCTGGATTAAAAGACATATGTCACCATACCTTTCTCAGACTTTAACTGTTTAAAAAGTAAATTTCAGCCTGAAGCCATCAGGTAGGCCCTAGGCTTCTCTTTGATGTGCTACTTACAAAAAAATTACTGGTCATATAATAATTTACTTGTTAAAAGTCTGTTCAGGTAGTCTATTTCCTCATAATTTAATCTTGGTGGGTTGTCTACATACACTAATTTATCTATTAGACATAATCTGGTTTGTTGATGTATAATCATAATAGGTTTTCTGAATCTGTGTTTCTGTGTTACCAGTTATAACATCTTTTATGTGGGTTATTTTAGTCTCCTTCCCCACCCAGCCCTTTCATTGATCCTTTTGCTTTTGCTTTAGTTTTTAGTGTCCACTCCAATATATTTAGAAACAGGGTCTTGGGCCTGGGGATCAGCAAAGTGCTTGCCTAACATGCACGGAGCCCAGTCTGAGCCCAGGACCAAATAATCAAGGTCATTCTTGGATTACATACTAAGTTCAGTTTGGGCTATATGAGACATTGTCTCAAAAAGACAAGGATCAAGACAAGGGCTTGTTATATAGCCCCAGCCGGTCTCAAACTTACTAAGCCCAGGTTTTCTTAAGCTTGGCAGCCTCCTGCCTCAGCTTTTTCTAATGCTAGAATCACAGGTGTGCTACCAGCCTAGCTATTTCGTTTATTTCCACTGTGGTGTTTGTCTTTAAAGATTTATTTATTATATATATAGTGTTCTACCTGCACATATGCCTGCATGCCAAAAGAGAGCACCAGATCTCATTATAGATGGTTGTGAGCCACCATGTGGTTGCTGGGAAATAAACTCAGAACCTCTAGAAGAGCAGCCAGTACTCTTAACTTCTGAGCTATGTCTCCAGACCAGTGGTGTTTGTTATTACAGTAATTTGGAGCTTAATGTTTTAGTTCTTTGTGGAGGTGTGTATATTGTCATAATTTCTCAGAGCTGCTTTCCTCATAGGTTTTGTCTTAGGAAGTTAAGATTTTTCCATCTTAATCTCTCCACTGACCTGTTCTTCTGGAAGTTTCTGAAGCCCCTCCTCTGCGTTTCTACTTTTATGCCCTTGTGATCATGAGGTATTTCTAGCAATCTAACATGGCCTGTCCTATGGGGGAAAAATTGTGCCTGGCTCTTAGATAGGATGGTATCTCTGTGATTTTCTTGTTGCCATTCACTTGGTTCTTACTATGTGTAGCCCAAGCTGTCTTCCTCCTCTGTCCTCCTTATCATGGGATAATAGGCATCGTAACACCTGGCTTGAATAAGGTATCTAAGTCTTACTGACCATTTCTTGCTTACTAACCTTGTAGTCTTGCTTTTATAAGAAGTATGAATTGTTAGATCTTCATCCCTGATTTGTGACAGCAGAGCTCCTAAACCCTTGAACTTTGTGAGCTGCTTTTGCTGTTCAAGATCCAGCTTTCAAACTATGCTTTTTTCCTGCATTTGAGTACTAAGTACCTAGTATGGCTGGGCTCAGCACTCCCTAACCTAAGCCAGGTGAGTACTCATGTACAACCAGCTGCTAAATGCAGAAACAGTCCATTTACAAGAGCTAAAGGTGAGAGGGCAGAGGAGGGATACACTAAGAGGGGGAAATTACGACAAAGCACAAAGACCTGTATGCTTCAAAAGTGTGAAGGGACTGGATGAAAAAAGGGCAGAACACAGGTGTTATAAAGACAGGTTGTGCACAGTCTGCTGTACCTTGTCAACCTCAAGAACCACAGCTTTCCTTGACAAAACGTGGGTGAAGAACTCATGTCTGTGAGCACTGAATCTTGGGAGTCTCTAAGCTGCTGTAGCTCTGAGCTCAGCTAACATGGTCCCAAAGTGAACCCGAAACTCACTCCCAGGTGAGAAGATGCTGTGCCACCACTGCCAGGGCCAGCACCTGGCTCTACTGGTCCCCATCAGTGTTGAGTACTATCACTAGTAAGAAAGGAGGCCAAGGATGTTAGAAAAATACAAAATTTAATCTACATATATGACAGTTCATAGCGAGGCTCCTAATTAAAAAGTTTTCAGTCTATAGAACAGAATGTGCCTTAGCTACACATCTGTGGGTTTTGTTTGTCAAACTCATCAGGCAGCTCAGGTCTCTTGAGCTTGCTCTCCTGGATTAGCCTGCTTGGTCCTGAGATCACAGGTATGTGCCACACCCCCGTCAAAGCATGTGGTTTTTCCCTTTACCCTAAGTCCCTTTGCCGATCTGCTCACACCCCAAAGCTGACCCCCATCCTCTGGAAAGCTAGCCCACATCTATAGACCTGAATAGAGCACACTGCTGACGAGCCACAGTTGTTCTTTCATGTTCTGTAGCCCAAGAACTCTGTAGCCTCAGGCTCATACTCCAGCCACTTTCTGGGATGAGCTGTGGTCCCAAGAGCCTGTTGGACTTCCCGATGGCTTTCTGACTTTCTGGCCTACATTATAGAATGTCTAGAATGCAGGTCTTCAAGGCATCAAGTGATTTAATAACTGACTCTGTTCAGGCCCACCTTCTGCACACAGCTGGAGCAGTGGTGCTAGAGGCCTGGCAGATCCAGGGCCTCTCTGGTAGAGGAAGACCGTTCCAGGGAGCACAAGGAGACACTTTCAAGGCAGGAAGAGGTTGATTCTCTGGGAAATGGATTTGCAGCCCTGAGATGAGAAACGCCGCTCCTCCTCGGGGACATATGTCATCATCTTGGCAATTTCATCCAGGGCCTCTTCTGTGTATGGGAGTTCCTGGCTCAGGAAGGCGTCTCGGACACACAGCCACACGTGGTAGTACTCCAATGGCAGGAAGGGGACAAAGAAGTCAATAAGGTTTTCCTTCACAAGACGGCTGGAGCCAAAGCCACTGTCTGAAATAAGACCCAAAGTTACACATAGACTGACCTGAGACCATGCTAAAGATTTAAGGTGTCCTCATATTTGAGACCTGGGCAAGATCGGGTCTCCTGTGGAGCTCTAGGAGTACAGTAGGTACCTAGAGCTGGAGTGTGACAGGGCATGACCACCAGGACTGTGGCTTTGGTGCAGGAAACAGGTACCTTTGGCTGGGGCTGACTGTTCTCTCAGGGAGATCTGCTGTCTCTGGGCATCAGAGACCATGTCTGAGCCAATGACCCTCTGAAGGGCATTTTCAGGAAAAGGAGTTTAGGCTTACTTTTCCTTGTGCCACCTGAAATTGACAATTTGCCTGTCCTCTGTCCTCCACTACCTCGAATTTGTTACATAACTAATCACCTCTACAGCTCTTGGCAAGGACTGTGTATCTGAACTGATCACTTACCTGCAGACTGCATGATCTCAGCTTGAAGAGGGGTCTCCAAATGCTGCATCGTAATTTCCTCCCTGGACCATCCAGCCTTCAGCAAACTCAGGACCTTCTCACTGATGATGCTGCCCCCAAGGTTACTAAAGAAACACGTGCCTGTTAACAGTTGGTTTGCACACTCACTCCCATGTGTGCTACCTGATAATAGTTTCTAGAGCATGGGAGCCTGCTCCATGGGGCAGGGCAGAAAGGCACTGCCCTGCTTTGCCCCCATCCTGCCTTCCTTGCCCTTTTTGGTAAACAGTGGTGACACTCGTAGTTCTGTGTGGCCTACAAGTCAGATGTGAAAGATTTTGGAATTATGTGTCACATGAAGGAACACAAGGCTTCCATCAGGACACAGCATCAAACTCAAGAGGGGCACAAGGATACAGCAGAGGACCGTGGGATTCAACGGTCAGAAGGAAAGCATGAAAGCTAGGCCACACAGCTAGAGAGCGGGCGCCATGCAACCCTGAAGGATTTGGTGTTAGTATTCAGGCATCTGTATTGGCCTGTCCTTGGGGTTCTGACAGTATACACCCTCAGCTGCAGCCATTAAGGGCACCATCTGCATATTCCCTATGTTCCTTTCTTTTTTGGTTTTTCAAGACAGGGTTTCTCTGTATTGCTTTGGAGCCTGTCCTGGAACTAGCTCCTTAGACCAAGCTGGACTACAGAAATCACAGATGTGCCTGCCTCTGCCTCCCGACTGCTGGGACTGAAGGAATGCACCACCAATGCCCAGCCCCACTATGTTCCCTTTTAAAAGGGCCCTGCCCTCTTCCCATCCTCCTTTCTCCCTCCCTCAACCCCCTTCCCTTTTTCTTGTCCCCAGAGGCCACCCTCCTCCCACCACCATCTTTCAAGCACTGCAACATTTGGGGCTACAAAAGTAGGGTAGTGGCCCTTTTCACTTTATGTCCTCAGAAACTTGGCCTAGATTATTACAGTGGTTGGGGCTGTAGGGCATGGAGGAAAGGACTGAAGAATTAGTTTAGAAAACCATTAGAAGTCAGGAGATGTCTGCCTAGGTTGCTTGCTGTAGCTTTCCCAGATGTCTGGAGCAAGTGCTTGTTTTGCCCTGCCTGTGTTCTAAGGGTTGAGAATTAGATGGCTGCACACCATGCTAAGACTTGAGTGAGTGACAGGTAAAGATGGAAGAGAAGCCGGGTGGCCACCCCCTGAAGCTGCGAGGAAGTACTAGGGACCTGTAACCAGGCAGTTCCTCTTGTCCCAGGTTGCTCCCCAGCAAGCTCCCACACCAGTTGAGCCCCCACTCTTTCTACTTCATCTTATGGCCACAGAATGAGAAATGTAGTGAAGGAGTAGGGAAAGCAGGTGCAGATTAAATTGAGGGTCCAGCATCTCCATTCCTCCTCACAAGGCTCAGAGTGCCCCTGATGCCTCAGAAAAGTTCACACATAGCTTTTTGCTTAGTTTGCATCTGAGTGTGTCCTGCAGTCCCTAACCAGCCTCCCTAGCTGGGTAGAGAGAGACTGGGCCAGTGTGTCCCTCACAGCCAGAGGGATCCAGTAGAACAGGGGCATTCCCCAGGCCCTGCTCAAGCCCAGCTTCCATGCCTGCGTACACTGCTCAAATCAGTCTTGTGCGGCACAACCCGCCTGGAGGTTTTCTGTCTATGCAACTGCAGAGGCAGGACGGGCACCGCCACCAGAGATTGCCCTGTCTGGGTTTGCCACAGTGGTCCTGTTTCCACCATCTCTGGGGGACAGCAGGCCAGTGAGGTAGGTGACTGCCTCAGCCCCAAGGACATAACACCTTCCTATTTTAGCCCAGATGACTACCCACCTGCTTCCCTGTGGAACCCAGGGCCTCACTCTGCATGCTTTTGGCACATTTATCTGCTCTGTCTGCAGCTGGTATTTTTTCCCCACCACGTTATAGGTTGTACCTCTCACAGGACAAGGCCTAGGAAACCTTCACTGCCCGCCCGCCCGCTCAGCGGGGCTGCACATCACAGTAGACACGCTACCTTCTGGTCAGTAGGAGGCAGGAGTAAATACCTGCTGCCTCCTCCACCCACAGCCCACATCCATATTCTTTCCCAAAGTCCTTTCTGTTTGTACTCTGACAACAGCTCAAAGAGAACAGACATTAGCAACGCTCTTCTGGGTGCACAAGAAGCCAACAGCTCCAGTCTTGCCCTGCGACTCTGGAGCCTGCTGCTGGCAGATGCAGGCAGAAGTCAGTATTATTAGTATTTTGGTAAGCATACAGCAAGTGCTTGAATTTTCCAGCCCAGGTAGGGATGGCATTGGCCCCCTGATTGCTTCAACTGCTACCTCTGAAATCGAGCCATAAATACTATATGCTTCTAAAAACTATTAGCACTACTCCTCAGGACCCAAGCATGGAAGTCTAGGACAGAGCTAAAACATCCTCAGGAGCCTAGTGGGAGCAAAAGTCACGGGAATGGTGAAACTCTAGGTGAGGGTGGAGGGACGCCATCCCCAGGTGCAGGGATTATGTCCAGTTCCACCTGGACTGTGTCGGCGGCAGGTGATTCTACTGACTCATCACAGCTAGTCCACCCCGCCTCAGGCCTGGCTGCCTCCTATCTTACTGTCTGTCTGCTTTTTAAAGATAAAGCTTACTCTTTTGAACAATATTGGCACTATAAAATTGGTTTTGTTTTTTTTTTTTCCATGTTGGGCAAGTAAGGCCTTCTGGGCTTCATCCACTCAGTCTGCCATCAGGTGCCACAAGAGAGGATGAAAATGAAGGGGCAGGGAAGGGCTCAATGGACAAAGTGTTGTTGCCTGTGCATGGACACCTAAGTCAGGTCCCCAGCGGCCCTGTGAAGAGCTGGGCGTGGCTGTGTGCACTTACAGCTTCAGCAGAAAACAAGGTAGATTCAAGGGTGGTGGAGACCAGCCTGGCCTGAGCTACATAATGAGACCCTGTCCAAAAAAAATAGAGACTGATACCCAGTGTCGACCTCCACACAGCCGGAGCACATACTCAACACAAACGCAAGAATCCTTAGCACAAAAGGGAAAGAAATTGAAGCTCATTATAGAAATCAAGTCCAGGGACTCAATTCTCAAACACTTTGATAACAGCAGGAGTCTTGGGGCACCCTCCAGAGGAGCTGGCTGCGGTTCTGCATAGCCAGAGAAGGACTGTGGAAGAATGATGGCCCATGGCCTCTTCTCAGTGCAAGCCTGCAGCTAGGAGACCACTGCCACGTCTGTTTAAGAGCCCTGGAAGGCAAGCTGCTGTTGTGGAATCTCCCAGCCCCCTTCACCCATGTGAACCCGTGTATGTGTATAACTACGTGGCCTCAGTCAGCCCACTAAGGTCAGGTCTATAGGGGAAAGGGCAGGACCAGCTAGCTAGTGACCAAGTGTTTGCTTTGAGATAGGAGGGTCACACTAGGCAAGGAGGGTCACTGGACACACTGGGCAATCTCAGCACCTGGGTTTGCCAAGTCATAGGAGAGTCGGTGCCTTAGGGAACATTGGGCCCGACTCTGAGTCTCTGAATGTGGGGATGTCATAGACAGCTGAGGCCACTGCCTCAGAAGGGGTAAATACTCATCATTCTGCACTCTGGAGACATTACCAAATGCCTCTCTTCTCTTAAAACCACCCTGAGACCCTCAGCCCGATGCCATCCCTGCCTTCCACAGGTCAGCTGGGAGAAAAATCGCTCCTACTCTAAAGCCTAGAAAATGTGAGAGTGGCCTCATGGGCAGGAAGTAGTGGCAGGTTTGCAAGGGGCTTTGGTTACATGGAACAAAAAGCACACCAATTCTGGGGTAGCTGCTGACACTCAGCAGCCTCGAACATTCCACTGCTAATGTGAGACACACACACACAGGGCAGGAATCCTAAGGAATGCTCAAGGTTTTTTTTTTTTTTTTTCTACTTGATCTTAGAACATATGGCTGACTTGACAAGAGTCTGAGAGCTCTGGTTTTCACTAACTCCCTCCCCACCCTGATGCAGGGAGTGTGGCCAGCTCTGCCATCCTCACTCATCCTTGCCTTCCATCCCCCACACACCCCATGACCCAAGGACTGCCCCTCTCCAGGACAGGGCATTAGATCCACAGTGGCAACTCCACCTATGGCCTGATTGGGACCACATTTCCTGTGACTACCTTCCATCATATCCCTCCTCACCACCTTCAGGTAGGGATTCTGATTCATGTCACCAACTCCACCAGTAACTGTTGCTTAAGGAAAAGTCTGAACACCTCCCCAAGGCTCCTGAAGACTAGCTATGAGACTCTTCCTGCTCAACAGACACTCTGACTTAGCTCAGCAGGGACAACTTCTAAGACCCCAGTGGAACCTCAACATTGAACTGCCCAAAACTCAAACCTAAGCATGGCTGGTCAGCCACCTGATAACAGGAAACAGCTCCCAACACCCACCCAACAAAGCAGATACAAGATTTCCACACTCAGAACCACTACCAATGGCTAGGTCCCATGGCAAAGACTCAGGGAAAATGGAAATAAGTCTCCACCAAAAATTAGTACTTCCATAGGAGTGCCTGAGAAAACCAGCTTAGATGACCTATACCACAGTGATTTCAAAATAGCAATAATAAATATGATCAAGAAACTCAAAGTCCTTGAGGTGGCGCACTCCTTTAATCTCAACACTTGACAGGCAGAGGCAGATGGATCTATGAGTTTGAGGCCAGTCAGACCTACAAAGTGAGTTCCATAGAAAGACCTTGTCATATGTAGGCAGAATAGTCTGTCCTGCCAGCCAGCTCCCAAATAAGTCAACAGCGTAGGCTTATTACTAACTAGCTCTTATATCTTAACCCACACTTTTATTTATTTTCAACAAAATCATAGACTTCCCAGGGGCTAGGAAGATGCCCGGTGGTTAAAAACACATACTACACTATCAGAGGACCTGAATTCAATTCCCAAACTCACATCATGTGGCTCACAACTTCCTTCAACTCCAATTCCAGGATGTCTGACATCTCTTGCTTTGGCAGACACTGACCTCACATACATACCTACACATAATTTTAAAAATAATCTTAAGGAAAAAAAAAACCCTAATCTAAGGAAAGAGATGGCTGCTATGTCTAAGAGCCATACAAAACAC